AGCTGGAACTCTGGATCATACTGGATAGCCTCAGTGCCCTCTCTTGCAAACTCGTACCGATACACCAACTCCGACATCAAATTTTAACCTCTAATAACGCAAAGTTGAACCCAATACACCCTCTTGGTCCAGTAGCAAACGGCAGGTAGGATCCTCTGTGTCTCTCCTTCTTGACCTCATCGGTATCCCACCTCTCGGGATCAAACCGGTAGGGGTCATGCCAGTGGTCAGAGCTGGTGTGAATGGCGTACAGAGCAGGTATCATGACTGAATTCTCTAGAATGCGGTAGCCACCAGGCACAACAACGTCAGTTTTTGTTGTTCTTCCGGGCTGAAACGAAGCGTTGTGTAGGCGCTGAGTTTCCTTGACAAATTTGTCGAGGTAGGGAAGGCCGTGGGCGTGGTCAGGTGTCCACTCTGTCTTCTCCGAGATATTGTAGTCAACAAGTTCCTGAAGAAGTTTGTCCTGGACGCCTGGGTAGGTTACAATGGTGTAGATCAACCAGCTCATAAGCGAACTGGTCGTTGTATAGCCAGCCCCAGTAACAACCAGCATGTTTGAGAGGACGAGAGGCATTGGGAAGTGGGCGTCCGTTTTGTCGACGGCGTTAACGAGGTAGTCGGCTACGCATGAGGCGCGGGTAGCAGCCTCATTCAGAGGCATATTTTCAATGCCAGAGCTGGGAGCAGATTCGATAGTCTCCGATATCATGTGGTACTGTGAGGGACAATTAGCCAAAGTCACGGGAAAGCATAAAGCGAAGAGTTTCGGCCTACCACGTCGCGCTGAACTTGCTTGAGTTTTGCTGAATCACCAAAGGGCAGGTTGCGGTACCATTCTCCCCGGGCCGTAACTTTCTTGCTGAGAGCCAGCATGTTCACGATGTTGGTGACCAAAGGGTTCACGGGCGTGTCCACACTGTCGAACTGTCCCATGTCTTTGGCAAAGGCGAACTTGCCAACAGTTTGGGAGGCAAGCTTGACCATGTATTGGTAGACGTTCCATGATTCACCCCGCGAGTCGAGCTCATCAAAAACCTTGAAGCTTGACCTCACGCATTGTTGCATATCAGGTGTGTAATGTCTGACCGCTTTAGGGCCGAGTGTGGGAGGAAGGAACTTGTGGGCGAGTCGCCAGTTCTCGTTCTCTGTATCGCCGATAAAGATTGCTGTGTTATCCTTGATGCCGAAAAGCGGGCGGTCCTCGTTTATCTTCTTGGTGAAATACTGTGATTCGCCGAGGGCAACAAGCGCAACATCGGGATCGTTCGTGAGGTAGTTGACCTTGCCGAGGTTTACAGTTTGGATAACATGTCCATAACTAGCGGTTGAACAGTCTCTCGTGGTTGCCAAGGTGATCTGGAAAGACTTGATAGAAACTGCCGACCAATGGAAGACCCTCGGGACCCTGCGGATTTCTGACCGCAAATCCGCTGACACGTACTGGGACGGGTCCAGGTACCGAGAAGACATCCTTGAGAGTTGTGAGATTGTTGTGGTCAGCTTCTGATGCGTGGAAAGAGAGGCCTAAGTTCGGATCATATTAGTGCATGTCTCTCAACATCTTGACTGGCAGGACACAAAATCCTGTCCAAGTCATGACCGTAAAGGGGTAAACGGGTGGTCTTGCCTTGTGGAACCGCTGTATGGAGTTGGAGGGCAACAGCACGCTTGAGATCGTCGAGCTTTCTGCCAAAATCCACCGGAACCGTCTTGGCCGTCTCCGGGTCATCGTCGACAAAGTAAAACAGTTTGGACGCCATGGTTGTGGTTGTGTCTGATCAACAGATTTGCGAATGGAGAAAGGACCAGAGTGAGAGGAACCACAAAATCAAGCCAAGATCAACATTGATATTTAAGATGCTATCAATCGGCTTCGTCGGGACGCGATCCAGAAGTTCCTATAAACGAAGCGATTTCCGTGTTGGAACTGAAACCAAGTCCCATCGGCATTCGGATGACAACCATGTTCTCATCGCCGTTGGGCTTCGGACTCATTGCCCGAGGCTTCGAGAAATACGGACGAAGTTCACTTTTGATACAGATTGCTATCGATGTTTCCCTGTCAGTGATGTGGGTGGAAGGATCGGGATGTGGGGAATCGAGGTTGTTGCCACCAAGTAGATCGTTTGGAAGTTTGCGGCACCTTCCGCAGGCGACCCCTGACACGGATCAGGGCCGAGAAGCCGCGAAAGGCAAACGCATATTGGAAAGTCAAAAATGGATTCTCCGCGGAGTTGAAGAGAAGAGAAATCCCCGTGATGGATTCGGATGGATCCGGACCTCTCTCGCTTGTGATATATCAGTGGTGCTGCACCTAGACTTCGGCTTTGAGATTAGGGTTTTAACACATAGACACACCAGATCACTCAACTTCCTTACGCTGGCTTTAGGGCCACCATTAGTTTGAGAAACCTTTCTTGACCTTTGTGGTTCGAACAAAATCAAACAAAATACACAGACAACTAACTCACAAAAGCATCAAATCAACTTGCGACAATGGCTTCAACAGAAACGATTGCCCTGGCCGGTGTTGGGAAACATAACAAACCCGGTGACTTATGGGTTGTCATCAACAACAAGGTTACGCACTTCCTCCTCCTGTCTAGTGGTTTTGGTTATGTCGGGTCCTAACGTAACCAAGTGTACGATATAACGAAATGCGCTGAGAACCATCCTGGTGGCGTTGCTGTTCTGAATGAGGTTGGCGGTTTCGATGCAACCGAAGCGTTTGCTAAGGTAGGCCACTCAGCCGAGGCGGAGAATGAGCTTAGAATCTTTTCGTTGGGGACTTGGCTCACGAGGAACATGTCGAGACATTGAAGGTTTTCCGTCCCACCTATTTGGATGTCGGCCAGGAAGCAGCTGTCAAAGTCACCAAGAAGGGCAAGAGCAAGGCCCGTCGCAGTGCTCTTCCTTCCCTCGCCGTAGCAGTCATTCTTGGTGCCGGTGCTGCATCATGGGCAGGGAAGGTACCACTCTTCGTCGGAGGCCCTAGTGATGTCATCGTTAAATTGATCGCCAGCCATGTGCTCTTGCCCTCAGGTATCTTCCAACATCTCTGATCTCCGAATCCGGAGGTCGGTACAGTTTATTTTGGTGGGGAGTCGGAATTGCTACCGTCGCCGAAGTCACCGCCACCGTGGCCGCCGCAATGTGGGCATGGTCAAAGCTCGACATACAGGAGGAATTCACACACTGGCCTGCCCATCACACGGCCAGACCAAGTCAATACGTCCCCATCCTCAACGTACCGACCATCTCTGGCTCAAGCAGAGGTTCTACCGCTCCCAAGACCATATCAGTCATCGATCCCCAAGAATGGCGCAAGTTCAAGCTCGTTCGCAAAACCCCCATCTCCCCAAACGTCTACCGCATTGTCTTTGCACTTCCCAAGTCCGACTCAATCTTCGCCTTACCCACTGGCTAACACATCGCCCTACGCGCCGTGATCGACGGCAAGCCAGTCGCCCGCTCTTACACCCCAGTGTCCAACAACAGCGACCTCGGCCGCATCGAGCTGCTCATCAAGGTTTACGACAAGGACGCCATGCCAAGCACCTGGAGCCAATGTTCATCGGTGATGCCATCGACATCCGTGGTCCCAAGGGTTCCGTTCGGTGCGAGGCCAACAGCTACGCTAAACACATCGGCATGATCGCCGGCGGCACTGGCATCGCACCCATGTTCCAGATGATTCGTGCTATTTGCGAGGACGAGAGCGACAGCACAACCATGAGCCTTTTATACGCCAGCAATTCGGACAAGACATCCTCCTTTGTGAGGAGCTCGATGGTTTTGCCGCACTCTGCCCTCAGAAGTTCCAGGTTAGATATGTGTTGGCGCATCCGGAGGGGAGTGGACAGGACTGTCCGGCTTTGTCAATGCCGAGATGATCAAGGAGTATTTGCCGGTGGCCTCTGATGACACCAAGGTGCTGCTGTGCGGGCCGCCGCCAATGGTGAATGCAATGACCAAGAACTTGTTGTCGTTGGGGTTCAAGCAGCCTGGCGCGATGTCACAGGCAACTGATCAGGTGTTCTTGTTTTGAGCTTAGATGTTGGAGAAGGATTTTTTGAATATCGGGCTTGGGAGGAATAGGTAAACATTTATCTAGTTAATAGAGTATATACCCTTTGATAACTTGTTTGCGGTGGAATTTCATATGTCCAAGAAGCCCTACTTCAGCTTTAGCAAGACTTGTGTATTCTAAAGAAAATATGTTGTTCTCGCAAGGCCTGTTGGCATTCGTTAATGCCTCGGTATTTCAAAGAGGGCCTGTTTACTTTGCGCAAGGCCTATCTATTTCTACGACTGCCCGTGGAGTTTCGAAACAAGGCCTCCACACTCTTAGCTACGCCAAAATTATTTCCCAGTAAGGCCAGTCAATTTTCAATGAAACTTGTCTTGTCTGTCTGTCCGAGGTATTTTTAGGAGTGCCTACTTATGTCTATAAAGATGGCCTGGTCATCTGTCGAATTCAGTACCGAAAAAGAGAAATGAAAAAAAAAAAAAAAAAAAAAAAAAAAAAAAAAAAAAAATTCACCAGCAAGAGGTATATTGCACCATTCCATCTTTCACATGCATTCCATTCTCGGTTTTCTTTTTCTTTCTTTTTCTTTCTTTCTGTTTTTTTTTAAAAAAAAAATCCAAAAAAATCCACCCCCTTTTCAAACCTAACCCCTTTATTTCTAAGCCATCATCACTTCCTTTTTTTTTTTTTTTTTTTTTTCCCCTCGTTTCTCTCACATCCTCCATCTGATTATGCACAGACTGCGACAACCCATAATTAATAACTCAATCCAATTCATGGGCGTATCAAAAAACCCCCCCAATCCACCAATCCACCAATTTCCACTCAACTCCTGCCTCACAATTCAAACCCCCTCTTCCACACTAATACCAACAACACCAATTTTCTTATAAAAAAATACATATGTCTCTCTACATACCTAACTAACTCTTCATATCGAATGAGCAAAAAAAGATACAAAAGTAAACGACCATCCTGGGATTCGAACCCAGAACCTTTACCAATCAGAGTTTATAACTGTGAGAAACCGGAAAGTAACGCGCTACCATTGCGCCAAACGGCCCGTTTAGTGATGTTTAACTGGTATGCGATTTGATTCTTATTAATGACTCGCTGAGAAATTGACGAGGTTGAGTTTGAGTTTGAGTCGGAAAAGATTGAAAGAGTGGGTGATGCAGGCAGGATGAGTGGAAGGAATTGATTGTTAATTTGGAGTCAACTGAAGAAGAACTTTGTCACTTTTTTCATCTCAAAACAAAACATGGTCATAACAAAATATTCAATTCAAATCGCTATTAAAATACACCAAGGGAATTAAAAAAAAAAAAAAAAAAGAAATTAACTAAGCCTGCTTGCTGAGCGCCTCTCTGCGACCGGTGCTGTTGGGATCAAGATAAGGCCTCTCGCCAAGCCCAACAGCTCTGTTGCCGAACCTCTCACCATAGTTTCCTTCAAGGTAATCAAACGTGGCCGTGTGGAAGACGGACCTGTTGTCCCAGATGGCAATGTCGTTCTTGTTCTGCCACTTGAACCGCACGGTCAAGTCGTGGTTCTTGTAAACCAGGTCCAAGAACCAGGTCAGCAGGTGCTTGCTCTCCTCCTCGGTAACACCGTTAATGTGCTTGACGTGGCCACCGACCGGGAAGATGCTCTTCCACCCAGTAACGGGGTTGGTGCGGACAACGGGGTGAACGGCCTTGAGCTCGTCACCAATGTTCTCGGGCGCGCCGCGGGGCTTGTCGTAGAGCTTGAAGCCGGCAGCCTCGGCGACCTTCTTGAAACCGGGCTGCTCAAAGGTAACGGAGAGGGTCTCCAAGAACTTTTGGTAGGGCTCGCTAATTCTGTCGTAGATTTCATAACCCGATGCCCACAAAGTGTCGCCACCGGTGCTTGGGAGCTCAACGAGCCTGAGAGAGGTGAAATCGGCAGGGACGGGCTCGAAAGCAATGTCGCTGTGCCACTGGCCGCTGCTCTGCTTCTTGGTGCTCAGCTCCTCGGGGAGGCCCTGGCGCTTGTAGAACTGCTTGTTCTGAATGGAAGAGATGGTGCTGATCTCCGGATCCTCACCGCCAAGCTCTCTCTCGTTGTTCAGAAGCGGGTGAATGTGAAGGCCAGAAGTGGCGGGCCTGCCGGTCAACTCGCCCAGGCGAAGAATCAACTTCTTCTGCAGCTCATTGTCGAGATCGTCTTGGCCACGGAAGAAGACGACGCCACGCTGGGAGATGGTAATTGCCAAGTCCCGGAGAAGCTCATCAGAGTTGGGAGCGTTGAGCCACTCAACGAGATTGGCCTTGGGGAACTCTTTTCCGATCACGGGAGTGACCTCGAAGGACTCAAAGGCATCAAGAGCGCCAGAGAGCTTGAGTGGTTGAGGGTAGGCGGGGCCGGTGGTGGCTGCTGCGGCGCCCTTGGTGACGATAGGGACAATGACCTCGGCGGTCTGAGTCTCAACAGCTGAGGGAGCCATTTTATGTTTCTCTGTCGATGTGCTGATAGATTTCTGTGAGGGGATAAGAGGAGAAGATGAGTGATGATGACGATGTCCGAAAGATGTTGTGATGCTCGTCTTGCTCGACCTTTATACAGCTTTCAACATCTTTGTTCATATCCGCCCTTCCCAACTCTTGACATATCAGTTTTCATCATCAACCCCGCCTCTATTGGGTGAGAATATGAGGACCCCGTGGCTAGTTGTTTCGATGTTGCATCAAGATGGCATCTGATTGACAGCTATCCATAACCTAACTGCCATCCTTCGAATCAATGTCGACAGAGATGGATGACGAGCTCGCACCGGTCTATGCCGCGATGATCATAAAGCAGTGTCCGGAGACACCAGATATGCTACCAATGCCGGACTTAACGGTTCGTCAGGAAGACGCCATCCCGCCGAGCCAAGTGGTCTTCTCCCCCCACGTTCTGGCGCCCGACACGGTGCCGTGAAATGGCATTGCTTGTTGAAATGCCGGCAATTTGATTGGCCAATTCTTTCTACCCGGGGCCCTTATCTCGGGATTCCTTTTCAAATGCCGCTGACGCTGGCGCTGGTCGCGGAGATAAAATGCCACAACGGCCAACTTGTTAAATGTCGCCATATACCTCTCCTGGAATGAAAGGGGGAGCCGACCAATCATGTCTCGACCTGGGGTCCGCTTGTGAGCTTGGCACCAAACCTCCAGAAATCACATCAACCACCCCGACAATCACGCCTCAACCCGCCACTCACAACTTCCTCGGCCCAACTCCCGCTCCCACACTCAGTTGTCAATTCAGTGTCTGTCGGCCGTTGGTGCTGCCGAGATGCCGATCCTGGATACCTAGCACAGTTCAAGGTCCTTAGGTATGATAACGCTGATGAGACGGTGATAGCTTAACCTGTCAACAAACAGGGGTCATTTCTGCTTTTCATGAGCGGTCTCCGGAGTCGGAACTTGGAAGACAAAGAAAAAAAATTCAATATTCATCACCTGAGCTCGCCATTCCCTGCATCTATCCTGCATGCCATGTCCAGCTCATTGCCACATTTCCGGAAATCTTGCCTGGCTATGGGTATCATGCCGTGATCGCCACAGATGTGTGCCACGCATGACCTCAGAACAAGCTGGTTTCTTACACACCATCAAGTTGTGCCGTCGTTCTGAAAGTCGGGGACTTCATATCCGTAGGGCTGGTTGGGTGAACAAGATCCTCTCCATGGTCTGGAACCAGATACCGGGTTAGGCCGATGCATGATGGACTTATCTCGAGCCGAGTCCCAGCTGGCTGGATAGACCACGTTGTGATTTTGTGGCGTTGTTTGCTGATCGCGGGTAGCACGGTCTAGAACCCCCGTTTTGTCCTCCTCCTTTCAGTACCTTGTATGTAGTGTTGAGATGGGATCTGGTTGGACAAGTCCCCCGGGAACAAGCGAAGGATCACACACTCTAAGCTAACCCCCCCAATCACCCACCCTGTGCATGTTGCAGTTTTGGTGGGGGCAAATATCCCGTTTTGGGGAAACAAGAACCGCAACGCGGTACAGTTGCTCTTGTTGGCACCCCGGGGAGTCGGGGCACGCACCCATTCTGCAATGATTGACGTGCGTTCAGTGGGAAGATGCGCAACCCAGCTATCTGCCACCCCTATCTATCCGGGAAAATGTGGTCGAGCTCATAGAAGACGTGATTCTTTGCATGGTGTTCGCCATGGGAATTGCTACCGCATCGGCAGCCGTAGGAGGCTTTCTTGTCGCCAGTATGTGATCCGGGTATCTGTAAATCGTATAAAGGCGTCAGCGCCGTCTGTGTCTTGTGAATTAGAAGAGACAAGGACCCAAGCCAAAGCATACCCTCGCAAACACCATCAACATGGCCACAGTTCTAACTCGCGGCAAGCCTGTGAGGGCTGAAAGACCTCCTCCTGTCGACTCAGATGATGAGAAGAAGGGTGGCCGTTCTGGATCAACAACCTCCATCAACTCCGATATCCCTCCTCTTGGGGAGCCGATCGAACGAAGGACCTCGTTGTTCAAGCGCGGCAAGCCCTATGATCCTGACGCCATTGCAACTCTCCCCAGCGTATTTGATGACCCGGAAACTTGTGAGAAATACCAACCAAATCCTGAGTGGTGAGTCTGATTGCCGCACCGGTGCACCTTCCCTCCAAGGTTTGTTGGGCAGGCAATTCTGACGTTGGCTCGATAGGGAAAATGCACATCGATTCGACCGCTTGGCTCGCTGGACCTGGAGAGAAGAGAACAAACTCATCCGTAAGATTGACTTTAAAATCATGGTCTGGGCGTGTGTCATGTTCATGGCCCTCGAGCTCGATCGTGCCAACATTGGCCAGGCCTTGACGGACAACTTCTTGACGGATTTGAATATGACGACAAATGGTAAGAGTTCTTCGTAACATATTTTCTTGGATGTAATTGCTGACGAGCGCTTCATCGTAGATTACAACCTGGGAAACTCCGTCTTCAGACTATCTTTCCTCCTCGCCGAACTTCCCTCGCAGCTGGTCTCCAAGTGGGTGGGCCCAGATCGTTGGATTCCCGCGCAGATGACAATGTGGTCGATTGTGGCAGCATCTCAGTTCTGGCTGTCGGGTCGTGGGTCTTTCCTCGCCTGCCGCGCTCTCCTTGGAATGATTCAGGGTGGCTTCATCCCGGATATCATTCTGTATCTGAGCTATTTCTACAAGCATGCCGAGTTGACCATCCGCTTGGGCTTCTTCTGGACCGCCATGTCAATCGCCGACATCATCAGCGCTTTGTTGGGCTTTGGGCTTCTTCGTATGCGAGGAGTTCATGGCTATGAGGGCTGGCGTTGGCTATTTTTGGTGGAAGGGTTGATGACTTTGATAATTGGCCTGCTTGCCTTTGGGCTGATGCCGCCTGGGCCTTGCGAAACAGCCAACTGGTTCCGTGGTAAAAAGGGTTGGTTCTCAGAACGGTAAGTCGTTTGTCTTTCCAAGCGTTGCGTAAAGCCCCTGTACTGATTCTTTCGGCTGCAGAGAAGAAGTCATCATGGTCAACAGAGTGCTTCGAGAAGATCCCACAAAGTCCGGCATGCACAACAGGGAGCCGATCACCTTCAAGCTGTTGTTCCAGAGCCTGTACGACTGGGATCTGTGGCCATTGTACATCTTGGGCTTGACATTCCAAATCCCCGCCATCCCTTTCGCACAGTATTTGGCTTTGACGCTCAGAGGGCTGGGCTTCGACACGTTCCAGACAAATCTTCTCTTGATCCCCTACACAGTCGGCCACATCATTACCATGGTTGCTGTCGCGTACCTGGCCGAAATCTTCCACAACCTGACGCTTCTTTCCGCCTCGGCGCAGGTGTGGATATTGCCATTCTTGATTTACCTCAACGCTGTCGACACGTCCCAAGTGAGCAGATGGGTCATTTTTGCCGTCATCACCGTTCTGCTCTCGTATCCCAACCCCCATCCAATCCAAGTGGCGTGGAACTCGCGAAATTCGAATGCGGTTCGATCCCGGACGGTCTCTGCGGCAGCGTACAACATGATGGTGCAGACCTCGGCAATCATTTCGTCCAACATCTACCGAAAGGACGA